GCGGGTTCGCGTGTTTCAGACAATGGCAATAATAATTCAGGGTGAAAGAAACAAGTTGTCTTCGCATAAAGTAAAAGTTACATAAACCTTGGCTACGTTTCCTTCATATTTCGGACTGGCGTCGAGTCTTTCAGTGCTCTGGGGAGACATTAGGGAGCGAACTTCCTCTGAGGGTATAAGTCGTTTGCTTCATGTGGAGCAGAATGTACATAACGTGGCATTTTCAGTTGTTCAGTTTTAAGCAGCTTTTCACTGCCCATTCCTCAATAGATGTATGGTCATTTCAAAGCTCAGTTGAATTGCTTCACTTCTAAATTGGACTCCAGATCTTTGCATTATATGCGTAGATCAATGCCAATCATCTAACTTTTCTAACAAATCGCTAATAATACCAAGAAGGGAAGTGGACCTAAGATGGTTCACTGTGAAACTGCAGATGTTGAGACTCGCCAACTGGCGTTAACTATACGTACTTTGATGCAAAACTTTCAATTCTGAAAATAGTTTCTGGGTCAAGATAGGAGTGGTTCAGTGGAGCCCATTTCCGCGACCTTTGAAACTAAGAATGCGTGGATTACTGTGTCTAAGGCTTTCTCAGTCGAAAAATACTACCGGTGCTTCTCGGTTCCACAAGGATGCCTAACTGTCTCATGCTATGAGAAGATTGGATGCACGCTACCTGCCTTTCCGAAACTCGTGTTGAGCTTCATGGTGTATTTATTTCTTATCCATGCACCCTTTAATTTGTTTGTTCACTAGCTCTTCCATTACGTTCGATAGTATTGGTAGTAATGCGACTAGTTTATAACAGGTCGAGTCCTGCTTCTTTCCTCTCTTGATGATTGGAGTGTAACTTTCTTCCATCCCGCTGTGAGTTAGTGCGACTGCAGTGAGTGCCTTAACAGGTCATATATCGGTGAATGGAGGCCTGTATTTTGACAGCTAGCTTCATGTGAAAGTGTCTCCTATCACTTCGAACCTTGTTACTGCATCTGTTTCTCATTGCGGTCGAAATCCTTCAGAGTAACCCCAACTAATACCAGACTTTCCTTTTCTCCCGTAGCAAGCGTTCAGTGCCTCAGCCAGCCCATGTTCCTATGTTTCAGGGAGTGCAGTGTGCCTGAGGTACATTGATTAGAACAGCAACATTGTTCACTATAAGTGTGCTTGTTTCAGGACAATAGGGTTTCTGGATACTAGCAGCTATCACGTTACCAGTTAGTTGCAGTATAGAGGATAATATTAAGCAGATTACACTTCTAATTCGACGAGGAAAACTATGGAAATATTCGAGTAATCATAAACGTTAATTAAATGACGTGAACAGTGTGTGAGGACAGAAGTGTAAGCAAAGAAGAGAAAATAGATATAATAAGCGAGATAGAATAAGAAAGTGCCGAAATGATAATGATAATAACAAGCATGTTTTCAGATATACACCAGACACTGATGTTCCAAGAGGTAGATGGAAATCCGAAGGTGAGTACGTGCTTGTTAAGTCTATTCCCGAAGTTGTCCTATCAGGAGGCTGTGGTTGTTTGGACTGAGAGAGCATTCCGAGTAAGGACAACTATTAATGAGAAAGAGTTCATGAGCGTAGGTGTCCGCCATTTGATGTGCGATGTTTTCAGAATTATCTTAAACAGAGTGATGGTGTTGTTTTGCAGTGTACATTTTTGGGATGTTACAGCTTATTAAATGTGTTGTTTGCCATTATCAGATCATCTCGAATTTTATTGCAAGTCAGAGATAATAATCCCAAGTGCTCAAGTTAATTTTCGTAGCGTCTGTTGTTGAGAGTGCTCGTCCCCAAAGTCGATCTAGATATTTTTGAATTTTGAGTGGAAGACGAGTTCAATAACTTAAGAATTGATACGGTACGAATTGATTACTGTGTATTAATTTCCTGTTCATCTTAAGGTGCAAATATTTATGGAACGATATTTTGTGTAGTGTACATTGCTCGAAGTTAAGGAAACACTATTCGAATTGCAGTACAACCGGTGCGACTCACTGGGTTATGGTTCCAGATTAGTTGTTGTAGTGATTTGGAATAGGTAGTGTCTTTCTGCAGATGCCATCTTTTCGAATGGTAATATATAAGGAGAGAAATTGACTGTTTATCAAACCGTTTGAAGTAGGCATGGGATAGTAAGATGATATTGAAACAACTTACTACTAACCTAGTAGTCACAAATTTGCTTTAAGTTGTCACCGTCAGCCAATTTCATCCCCTAACATGATTACAAAATAAACCAATTATTCTTGTTCGAGTTGTATCCACTACCTGAGATATGTTTCATAATGGAGGAAGATTGTTTGTATGTGTAAGTGGATATGTGTGATCAATCAATTTGATATACGAAGTAGTCAAGATTAGCTACTAGCCATTATAATGCACTTATAGACACAGTGTACTCAAATGAAGAGATTTCAAAAATAGTCAATTGAACATTGTTGAGTGATTTATTTCTGATTAAATGACATACATTTTCGCATTAAAAGTAGACAATAAAAAATCAATTCGAACATTTACATGTTTGACGCTGGTCATTCTTTTAGTAGATAAACAGTCACAGCAATATATCGAGACTTCACAATAAGACCTGATCCTTACCATTCATATCATCAACTTACTGACTAACTGATTTACATTGATTAATGGTAGGCATTATTGCTTACCTAATAATGTTGGACTCGATTGATAAACAGTACAAATTTCCTTTTGTGGAGTTTACTTTAAGCAGGACAGCACACCTACTGAAGCACTTAGGTCAGATATAGAAATAACCTCAAGGATGCTCGATGTTCTCTTCCGAAAGATTTATCAGGAAGAATAAATTCCAACCATTTGGAAATAAGGATTGTTCATCAAGACACCAACGGAAGGAGATCTTTACAAGTGTGAGAACTATGAAGACATCAAACTACTATCAGTATCAAAAATAGCTTCCCCACAACACCAAAGTCAGACTGTTCAACACAAATTTCGAAGCAATTCTATTGTTCGGAGGTAAATATCAGAGATCTAACACAAACTTCATCAGAAAGATACAGGTATTGATAGGTAGTTGAATATAAAGGATACTCCAGATCTGTGAACCATTCGTTCTCAGCAACAACCTCCTGTGTGAAAGTAAAAACCTGATACAAACTGCAGAGGCAGTTTAAAAAGCATGCAATACGTGAGACTAACTACAAAAATCACCAGACCTCGTGACAAGGCGCGTTGCAAATTGAAATCCTAAACTCCAGGTATGTACATTATACTTTTGGAAATAGTGTTTAGTAGCACGTATTAAAGCATAGAGATTAAGAATAAGACATTCGAGTGGTGATTGAATCGAGATTGACTATGATTATCACTGAACACAACGAACCCGTCACTGAGAAGATAAATAAATCCATGGTAAGGAATATATTTGCTGGAGATTTCGTGGTGTCGAAAAAATACCGAAACGTAACCGGAAAGATGGGCGAGTTCATAGAGCGACTAGAGCAAAAATGGCGGCGACACAGACAGAAAGTTTACACGTGAAGAGTGTCATAAACAAAAAGTACAGTTAAACAATCACTGGTACAGTTAGTTATAATAATTATTATTTCTATTAAACCAATCACGTTCTCTTTATAAAGGTGGTGCCTCTACAGTATAATCGCAACCTAACAAATTCCTATCAATAACTCGATACCGAAAATTGAGTGTTTGTATTTTAGTTACTTTCAAACTTCGGTAGATTGTGCATTTTTTTCCAAATCACGTATGTCAGCGAATCAGATGACCTTCAGGTCCCTTCACAAACCTACTTTTCTTCCGACCAGCCGAAGAATTTCCGTTTAATCACAGCTTAACAGAGTTTCTGTGACGTCATCAGGTTATTGGATAATGGAGAACCTTTGCTGTCCATGGACTGAATGATTTTAGTGGTTTTAACTCTATGCGTAAAACTGTAATTACTCATGGCTCCCATAAACATCTTGAATATCACTTGAGTGAATAATTTTTGTTTTCTTTCAACCTATGATTTTGCGACCCAAGGGCTGTTCTACTGGTCCTAATGGCACGAGCACATAGCAAGTGACGCAGTTATAGCAGTTAGGTGCTTACCGAGGCCACAGCGTGTATGTGAGGACACTATTGAACACACCAAAACAAACGACATAACTCGCTCCAACTATATATTGCACGTCCCAGAGTCTGGATGATTGACAGTTTAGTGTGAAAAATATTAGCCCTTTATAGAACATCACTTTATTTTGTAAAATATTTGTCTAACTGAACAACCTTTTATGGTAAATGTGTTAGCAAATCAAAATTTAGATCTTTCCAGTAAATTTACTTGCCTCACGAGACAAGTTGTTATTTAAGAATGAATTATCATCATTGTTATTAGCCGACGCTCAAATTATAAAGGGATTGTAGCAAGAATTGGGTTGCTCCATGTATTTTTAAACGACGATAAGACAATCCCTAAAACAATGTTCAAAATACCAAATATCTATATCAGCTATTCAATGTACTGAGATTAAAACAATGTGCAGACAATCTGATAACTTTTATTCATTCACTATTGAAAGGGGTTTACTGAGAATTTAAGAACTATATTATAGCCTGCTACTATTTAAATACGAAGGACAACCCTTATCAGTACTACTGAAACTTAACAATGCAATTAATTATTCTTAAGTATTTATCCACATGTACGTCAGAAGTAGGCTTGCGTCTTGTTGATAAGTAATCTATTTACTTATATCATGCGGGTATTTTTAAGGCATACCCTTAACTTCTTTTTTATTTAATTCCTATCGATTCACTGGTTCCTGCAAGTCCCTGCAACATCAAAACAATGCTTAAAACTTTTCAACCACAGTAATATTTTCTCATAAGTAAGATAAAGAAATGAAGGGAATATCCACTTAATTTTCCGAAAGTGAGTTATCGAAATAGAAAACTAATGACCCTTTGTTATTTTCACTAGTAGCTAGAATTTAAATTGGACAATGTTCAGCGCAGTGTTTGAGGAGAGCGTTGTTTTGATGTCTATTTTTTGTAGTCGTGGTAATGGTTTGGGCGTTTTAAAAATTTATGTACTTTAACCGGTTGTGCGTTTTATGGGTGTCAATGCGCGTTTAGTTGATGATTCGTCAGAAATGGTGAGGTTGTAAATTGTTTATTTAACGACGACTACTACTGATAGATAATTTCTTATTTATTTGTGTAGCAAATAATAACTTGAACTCTTTATTTCTTTCACAGTAAAAGAAATTTGGCCACTAATATGTAAATGTAATTTGTGTATTTTTTTAATTTTTAAAACTAATAGTCATGATAAGCCTACTTTTTATGGTTTCGATGGCTAAGGTAAGAGTCAGTCGTGTTCGACAAACTTGTGGAACGTAGCTCATACGGATAAAAAATAACTTCTTACTATCACCTAAATTATCTTCGAAAATAGTGGCATGTTGCGACTACAGTATGTGTTTTCGTTATTTGGGTCGTTTAGTATTCTTGTATTTAAACCTATAAAACAGTAGCAGACTCTGATCTCACCTTAGTAGATTCTTTTTACAATGAATGTATGAAATATCTGATACCTCGGATCAAAGTTTAGAATTTAAATCAATAAAAGGTTACTGATTAGAACTTCTCAAACATTATAGATTATTATTTGCTATTCAAAGTCCTCTAGACCTTACGTTCCAATGCTTTACATGCGATCATGTTTACCCTTATCTTAGTTTTCTCAAGAGAGATTATTAGTCATCATGTACTCAAGACCTAGTTTTCAAGCTCATCTTAAACCTGATGAATTTCATAGATTAGCCAAGTAATACCTCATAGTTTTGTGATCTTTTACGTTGATGAGAAAAAATGCTGTCGACACAGGTCATATGGCGGAAGTAGAATTGACCATTTTATATTGTGGCTATATAAAATGTAGAATCGTCGCCGGCTTACCATCGTGATTATTTCGTTAGAATTTTAAAGATCATCTGGTTTCTATCCGAAACACTTCTCAATTGGATCCCAATAATAATAATCTGAAAGTTTTTTTATCTTCTATCTGTCGATAGACAAACGAACATTAAAGAACCAAACCCGAGATAAACTAATTACTGGGTGCCTATTTATATTTTTTATTGTACTACATATGCTACGCTAGTTTTACTACTGCTCTGATACGGTCAAGAGTAGGTAGAGCAAACTCCACCCTGAAATTTCATGATATGGCCACACTTAGAAAGCCACTACCAGGAAATTCTTACTCACTGTTTCTCCGCTGCTGGGGCGTTGTTTGCGAAATTCAGTCAGTCACTTACAACGTAGAACTTCGTACGAACGTACATCAGTTCAGGTTGTCATACCACATTAGCACAGAGACGCAATTTTCAGTTCAAACCCCATAGTGATAGAGAGAGTACAAGTATTAGCGGTAATCGGAGAGATTAGGGTTCGAAGATATGATTCAAGAAGTTTGATTCAGTGAGATAAGTTTAGAAAGAGAAAGATCGAGGTGATAAGGAGTTCACAGGATTAGAATTTGATAGAACACAAAGAGCAAATGCACCTGCTCCATCGCAAACGAATCTGAGCCATGTCGTTCAAAGTCTCTAACCATCGATTATTATCGTCGTGTGGACCCCAACCAGGTAGTCCACACCTACCGACATGAATCAGTCCACTAGTCAGTGACTTCATGAATTTCTGCTGTTTTGGTTTGACCGCCCCAAGCTCTCATTCAACTTACTCTTACACCACAAAACATCGGTCGTCGAGGCAGTCGTGGTTGGGCATACGCAACACATGTCCTAACCACCTCGTCTGATGAAGTTTCAATACTTTATCTATTGACCTGTCATCCTTACCTAGTACCAGCTACCAAATAACAGTATTGCCTACTCCGTTGTTTCGGGATACACGAGCAATGCTTCGAAGACATCTATAGCTGACTACTAACAACCTACGAATATCCTCAACTCTGTTTGGCAGTACACTCGTCCTTCAGTTAGCAAACGAATATCTCGCCTACGCCATAAGTGAGGCCGCAGGTTGGCAAAAGCCATCGGGCTTTCTGTATCCGTGATGAGATTTCGTCATTCACTAGGTCACCAGTACTGATGAGACTTTCAGATAGTGGAGAAAATTTGTAGCTCTGGTGGATGGTTGTGGTGGTGTTTCGTTCTCTAAGCTGACTGTTTTGATTGTGGAGCTTTCTTTGTTCTTCTGAACAACATCATCAGAACAAACTTCAGATAGAAGTGAAGCATTCTAATTTCTCCACGTTTGACCTGTAGCTTGTTCTGCTAACTGTGATCTTGTTTGGTTATTAACCTTAAACCTGTCGTTGTTTGCACCTTTGTTTTGATTGCATCCCCCTTTTGATCTTCTTCCTACGTCGCCTATGATTTTTCTGGTTGGTTGATAAACTGGGTCGTAGTCGATGTGTTTGTTGATTGCTGATTGATTTGAGTGCCAAGCTTCTAAAAATTCTCTATTGTTTTTTGTCCCCCCCTATTCACTATTTCCACATAGTCCCATTCGAATGTATGTCCATAATTGTCGGTGTGTATAAGTGAAGAATTGTCGTGGCGTTTGACTGCTAATTGGTTTTCACGTAAACGAAGCTGAAGAAGCCGTCCACTTTGTCCTATTCAGTGTTTTTCACAGTCTGAGCAATTTATTTTGTAGACGGTGTTTTGTTTTTCTTCCCTTGTCCTTTTATCTTTTGGTCTACATAGGATTGATTGAAGTGATTCTGCCGGTTCGTGTGCCACATCTATTCTAAATGTTTTCAGTAGTCGTGCTGTATGCTCCGATATATCTTTTATGTATGGTAGGATGATCCGTTTATTGGTTCCTGTACTTGATGACAGTTGACGATTTTGGTTGATGTTTTTTGATGAAGTTGCGTGGATAGCCGTTCTTTTGGAAGATAGTCACAAGATGTTTTTCCTCGTTTTTTACTGCTTCATATGTGCTGCAGTGTGTCTTAGCTCTCTTGAACAAAGTTTGTCTACCGTTGATTTTGTGAGTTCTTGGGTTGTTGCTACCGTAGTTGAGAATTACCTCTGTGTGGGTTGGCTTCCGAAATACTTGAGTTTCCAGTTTTCATGTGTTAGTAGTATATTCAGGAATAGTAGACTGTTTATTCCTTTCCCATCGTGAATTTGATGTCATCGAAGACGTTGATTTGATTGTAGATGTTCTCCAGCTCGTTCCTTTTGATAATGACGGATGTGTCGTCTACATGGCGATACCCACATTTTTGGCTTGATCACTGGTAAAATAGACGCCTCTAGTCTCTGTATTACAGCTTCCGCGATCAGTCCTGATAATGGTGATTCCATTAGTGTTCCTTTTTTTGTTCGTAGACTCTGTTTTTGAAATGAAAATACGCTGTTAGGCATAGATCGATGAGTTCAAGCAGACTTTGACTCTGAAGCTTTGTATATTTTCTCAGTTTCCTGTCTTTGACGAGGAGCAGGAAAAGAGTTTCTTTAGCTAAGCTTGGCTCTATTGAGGTGAATAAGGCTGTCACGTCTAAGGATATCATCGTTTTGTCGTTGTCGATTTGAATCCCCTTGAGTTTATCCACACTTAACGGAGTAGTTGGGTTCATCCACCAGATGTTTTAACATCCTTAAAATTTCTCTTAATAAGTTGTAGGTCGGGGTTCCAGGGAGGGATATAATAGGACGTGTGTCACAAGTGATAGGAACACTGATCACGTTCTAACACTAGTGCTAAGTTGCTCCCTTAAAATATATAAAAGTCAGTTATTTTTTGACGGCAATGTTGCCGACTTCATCATTATTTTGTTTGCCACTTTTCTTTCAGGTAAAATTAGGCAAGAGAAGCTGGAAAACGCATTTATTGAAACCATTATCTTGGACTACTAACGTCAAAACAAAGCAACCAAATACGTGTTGGGTACAACTATCTGGCCATCCAGGTTAGTTTCTAATAGCAAGATGTGTTGTGAAAGATCTTTTTTTGAGAACTCGTATTTTATTCAATGTCTCTTCCTTTCAAAAATTTGTACTTAAAGGAGTACGTACATCGAATTTTGTCATTAAAAAAAATGGGCATTTGATGAGATGGAAGATGTCAACACTTTATTTTTCATCAAACACAGTAGAATACTCGTTTGGTCGTTATGATAAACAAGTTTGTTTTCTCGGTTTTAAAGGCGCTCTTCTATATCCTAGCGAATTTCACTTTTGCATTGATCTTTCGATGTTGTATTCAGTCAGTCAATCAGTCAGTTACAACGTAGAACTTCGTACGTACGCACATCAGTTCAAGTTTCCATACCACATTAGCACAGTGATACAATTTTCATTTCAAATACCATAGTGGTAGAGGTGATTGAATATATCATTCGAGATGTATACCCTGGAAGAATGAATTAAAAAAAGAGAAAAAACGGTCATGAAGAATTCAGATTAGCATTCGAGAGAACGCAAAGAATGGAGGCACCTTTGCCATTGCAAACGGTTTTGAGCTATGTCATTCAAGATCTGTAACCACCGATTACTATCATCTCGCGGACTTCAACCAGGTAGTCGACATTTGCCAACATGACTCAATCCAGTTGTCAGTGACTTCATGGATTTGTGCCATGTTTTGGTTTGACCGCCCTTTAGGTTTTTTCCGACCTACTCCTACACTATAAAACAGCTCGACAAGGCAATAGGAAAATGTGTTTACCTCTGTCATATATACGTATATCGTTTTGAAAATGTAGTTAGTATGTGCTATATTTGTATGTCCTATATTTGCACTCTATTTGTAAGTTGGTGTTTTTTCTGGTTTAATCAGCCTTGAGTTGTTAATCTGATTCAAATAAAAACTCACTAATAAGCAGAGAGCACTTGGATGAACAAATAATAATACGTATACAATGATTTGTATATGTAGTTATGATTTGATGACGTTCGAGTATCCCACATCTCAACAGGATATTGAAAGTCAAATTTTGTGCTGTTTTTAGCGGATATTTTAGTAAAGTAATTATCTCCCTTTAATGAACATTATGTTTAATGTATTAACCCTGAAAGCTGCTTAAGCGTCTGCGGTTGCTGACTCCAAAAACTAATCTTAAAAGATTTTATTAGAAGTGAATAAAGTGATTAAAACCCATTAAGTTTTCTTGCTGAAGTAGATAGCTATTGTGGCATCACAAAAGTTGTTTAAGATTGTGTTACTGTTTTTGATCTTGTATGTTTACCGTTTAAGAACTTGAAAAAACACGGCTTTTGTCTATTTCCCTATGTAAAGCACTATTAAATAACCTTTTCGTACTCTAAATAACATTGAATTAATTAAAAGTTAGATGCATCTTACTTTTGACCTCTTTTTTGTAAATGATACTTCAGGCAGTCTAATATCTAATGGTAAAGGAAGTGTTTTAAAACGTTATTGCCAAAGTGAAGCCCAATGTTTGATGCAGCTCCAGCTAGATATACTCAGATCATTCGTCCCCAAGTATCAAGGCGAGAAGCTACTCGATGGTGAACGTATCCTTTTGGATGTAATTTTTTTTTATTGGCAAAAGTAAACTAAATGACCAATGGATGGTTTTGTATTCATTTACTAATAATTTTTTTTTGCATGTTCATGTAAACTTATGAGTAGTAATTTGGCTTATGTAAAACTGTCATTAAAAGAATACTTAATTAGAAATCCAACCAGTATGTATATTATTGGGTTTTTGGCTGAGTAATTTGTTAGGTATTTCAGTTTTAATCACAACTCCGTATGTTTTAATCTGCTTTTCACTTAGGCTTGATATTAATGTGTTTCAGTTTGGGTACTCGGGTAGTATCCTAGCCCACACAAAAATTAAAAAGTTTTTGTGGTGCATATATTAAGTTGATCCCTTGTATCAATGTCGATTTGCTCAAATAAATAAATAAAATGATATTAAATATAGTCTTCGAATAGTAGATGTAGTTCAATCTCAAACTTACATTTAGTGCTAAGTAGTTTATGTATTCATGCTTCATATGTAAGTTTCGGTAGATTTATATTTCTATATAGCTCTTTGAACTATATGTTTATTGGAGATGGCTAGAGAAGATGTCTTAAGGACTGTCTACTGGATTGTTATATTTCTTTAGTAGTAGTTAACTGATTCATGATATTATAGGTAAATAGACGATTAATTCTACTCAAATATGAATATTTTATTTCTTGCATTCATTTCTTAACACTTAATTGTTATATACAAAGGTTATGTAAAAATGCAGGATTTGTTGTACTATTTTAAGTCACCGTCGGTAATGGACTGCAAGATTGGACAACGTACTTATTCAGAAAGTGAAGCTATCACAGACTCTTCGGAAAATATTCGAGAAGTAAGTGCTTTTATGTAATAATTTTAGCTGTATAGAGTGAATTTAATGAATGTTGCATGTTCACTGCTAGTCAATATTTTTGCTTACATTTTGTTAACAGCATGGTATGAGTAGAGCGAAATGTTTAACAAATCATTCATATTTTGAAAGTATATCGCTTATCTCATATCTTTCAAACAAAATATATCAAATAGTCAATATGTATAATCAAAATTCTGATTTGTACTTTCAACCGAAAGATCCGATAGGGTGAAGAGATTTCTTTCCAACTTACTGTTATACCGATGAGTGAGGTAGCAAGAGTGGTTGTACAAACTCCTTTTGAATGCAAAAATTGGGCTTGTGAACATGGATTCAGATAGTTTTAGCAGTTTACAAAAGACGAATTCGCAAACCACGTAGTAAATATGATGGAATATGGTAAATGACCTTAAAAGCTTTATTCAAGTCTAATTGATGTCCTGCGTCCACCAAGTGAGTGAGAATAGAACTTACAATCGCTCTTACCTGTCATATGCAGTCGTACGTCCTATATACATTCCGCAGGAGCGGTTGAATTGGTAGATACCCACAGACCGTCTGTTAATATTGCTGGTTTTCATTATTGAGTGATTTTAGAAAATCACATTCAGTTTGGTTGGGGTGAATGTTTTCTGTACCGACTGTATTAACCTTCAGGTTATGAATTTTCCGGTAGTATCATTTAGAATTCGTAATTTTAGGAATAGTACCTTCACCAATAGTGCTTCGTAATATTTGTTTCATGCACTATGTTGGTACTTTCTTATAAAATTCCTTTTGAAATGGCAACATCTAAAATTATCTATTATTCATACCGGTTTAGTTTGATTTCTCTTACCTATTACTGCTGAGATTACAAAACTTTTTTTTCAAAAATAAAATAGGATCTCTACTTGAAAATGATGTCTACTTCACCTAACGCACCAACTGAAAGAGAACATTGTGAAAAAGGTGTTTCAAAACTACGCTATTTGCAGTGGCGTGATACAATTAGCTCAACGGCTGAGTATGGTTTTCGCATTGAAGCAATCAAGGTATGGTATTTTATACTGATGCAATGTCTTGTGGTTAAGTAGTCCTTGCGTTACTTTCATCCTTGACCAATCAGTCATAAACAAGTTACGGCATATTTATATAGAATATTTTTGCCTCGGTCCAAATTATCATATGGGAATATGATTTCAAAAGAAATAATAAATTCATGGACTAAAAGTTACCAAATAATTTCGAAATTCTTGTTTTATATGAAGACAGACAGTGAACGTATCTGCACAATTACAACCAGTTCCGGGCGGCATAAACCTACATCGCCAACTATTGGCCATAATAATCGTTTAAACTTCATCTCAACCAGTTGATTTAAACTCACTGTTGTCACTTTACAACGATTAGTCAGATGCCAATGGTCAATAAATGTTTCTTATAGTTCAGTGTACAAGTCTTTATGTGAGTAACCGAAAGGCATCGATCTGATTAATTTTAAACACCTATGCGTATGATCGGATCATTCATAATGAGGAATCTTGATTTCGATAGGAACATTGATACCTGTATGAATACATAAAACCTTCAAACAGAATCCTTGATATTTGTTACTGTGCTTGTAAACTTGGGTCAAGTTTTGGTTCTTGTGGGAAGATAGTTAAAATGAGACTATATATTTGATAATATCGTTGTTAGACAATCATCAGTAAAATATACCATTGATATATTCGAATGAAGTCTTATGGTTGCATCCTACAATTCATAATTGTCTTACATGTACTATATTTCTAAATACAAGGTGATCGTATCTATACTTATCAGGTTGACATAAATGTTTCATTAGTAAGACAGTTATTGTTCTGAAATAGTTTAAATAAGTCAATCTTGGTTTACGATTATAATTAGACTTTTTCGTTATCACTTTAATAATGTTTCGCACTACATCTAAATACTGTTATGAAAACAGCCTGATGATAAGATCTTAAATGCCTTTAAACATTTAATTTGAGCCATGAGGTTTCGTGAAAGCTTTCTTAGTTTATTTATCGCATGCACACCTTCATTTCATTGTTTATTTTAAGACCATTTTACGCTTTCTGACAATCACAGATACTACTATTATTTCAAGTTCGTACTATTCATTAGTTTAATCATGCTGTACTGTTTTTGTTTGGGAACTTGAGCTGAAGCCCGGCCGTAGCTGCTACTTTGACGCGGTGGTCGGGCTTGTCTATCGTGATGACCCAACCGAGCTATATTGGCTGGAACATATGTTCCTTTAGGTCCTACCATGCCAGGCAGGTCGATTGGAGAACGATGAGACTAAAAGCAGCAACTCGAGGTCTGACGGTGAAGTCGTATTGCTGACTGCAGAGGGGTGTGACAGCGATAAGGTGTTTCCCTCGGACAACCAGCATCTGCAGCGACGTTGTATTCTCACAAGGAAAGAAAAGGTTAGATAAGGTCGATTCTAAAATGTCACGCCTCACTTTACCCCACGGATTCCCGTCTCCGATCGTAAGGCTTTTTGAACAAGAGCGGAGCTAGCACTTCCGAAAACATCCCATAAAGAGGCCGAGTGTGACCAGCTAAAAGCAGTTGTCCTTTGGGATTTGCGGTCACGCTTCCAAGTATCTCAGACAAACACCAATCCATCTTCCTATTGAGGTTCCTCAGGAAACAACCTTCCACTGTATGGGCAGCCGGGAGGTGATATCGGCCCTCATACTCGTAACACCACACGAGATTAAATAAGTAACAATCAAATCCTTCTAACACCTCTTAATAAATCTCTTATCTAAATTACCACCTCTTCTTTCATTCCTTTACCACCCTGCACCGCTAATACAAACGATTCGAGTTCACGAAACGTTATTCTTGGCCTCCTGAAACCCTCTCTAAACCACATGTTGGAACTTTTAATGTACGGACATTGTGTCAAATAGGGTAACAGGCTTCCTTAGCTTGGACTTTAGAATCTCGTGCCATCGATGTATGCTGCCTCTCGGAAACGCGCATACAGGATCCTAGTAAAATTATCGATCTGATTTCACCTTGTCAAAATAAAGTAGCAGCTCGATTTACTCTTTGTGTATCTGGAATCCCTGATGCTGCTTTCAGGGGTCTTGCTGGTGTAGGTATAGCATTAATTTCTAAGGCAGAACTAGCCCTCTTAGCCTGGATACCAGTAGATGGTCACTTGTGTGCTATCCGACTAAGCGGGACAGTAAGAACTCGCGAAGACAGAGAAACGTGCTGTTACATCTTTGTCTCTGCCTTCGCTCCCACTCACTGTTTTCTGAACGAAATAAAAGATGAATTTTACAGTAAGCTTTCGGACTTTCAGATGGTTAGGCGCTCTGATGTGGTAATAGTAGCGGGCGACTTTAATCCTCAAGTAGGTAGACTAGGCGAAACTGAAAACCATCTGCGTGCATCTTATAGTGCCGTGGCCCAGGGAACAGATAATGGTGACTGTCTACTGCAACTGTACTCTGATAATCACCTATTTGAAGCATTAGGATTTCAGTATCATTTACCGAACTGATAGACGCCCGAAAACTCATCCTGTCTGGCTCTGAACATGATGAGGCGCGGAGTTAGCTTAAACACAGGCTGATAAAATGCCTATGCAATGATCGCGAACAGTAGTGGGCAGTAAAAGCAAGATCGATGAGAAAGGCAGGTGCAATAGGTAATAGTGGATAACTATTCAGACTTGTCAAGTCTAAAGGAAATCTGAATCGAAGGAGAGCAGCAGGCCCTGATAGATTGACACCTGGGATTTTTAAGGATGTTGGACCAGATTTATCAGTCAATTTGACTGAGATCTCAGGTAGAATTTTGGAACTAGGCGTAATCCCATCCAATTGGTCTCAATTTGTAAGAAAGGACAAGTCCTCTTGTGACAGTCGCAGAGGAATCAGTCTAAGTAATGTAGTGCCTACGCAATGATCGCGAACAGTGGTGGGTGGTGAAAGCAAAAGCGACGCCTAACTAGAGCTCGTGAAAAGCAGACTGGAGAAAACCAGCATGGTGTCCGGCCTGGACACGATTGTATATATCACATATTCACACTACGACAGGTCCTAGAACACACACACATTTCGGCGACCCACAATAGTTGTCTTCCTTGACATTAAAGCGGCACTTGACTCTGTTGATACTGAGGTTCTGTGGCAGTGTCTGTCATTAAAAGGTGTACTATAGAAGTACAATCACCTTACAAAAGCTGTCTGCTCGTACACTACTGGTCGATTTAGAGCTTATGGCAAACTGTCAGCGGAATCGATTACACCAAGTGATGTCCGTCAGGGATGTCCACTTTCTTCATTCATATTTAATTTTGTCATAGACTTGTTTCTAGATATAAAATTATCTTGGTCTGACTTTTCATGAGTGGACCTACCAGGGAATTCATTCGTTGTCTTAGAATATGCCGATGACATAGTTCTACTCGGTGAAGACGCCGACAAAATGCAGTGTCTTCTGACTACCCTAAGTAACAATGCAAGCATGTTCGGGATGCGAATCTCCCACTCGAAATGCAGAATGTGGTCTCAGAATTGGCTTGCATTGATACCTGAACTAATGATAGAGAGTGAAGTAGTTGAGAGTGTTTACTGCTTCACTTATCTCGGGAGTCTCATCAGTGCCGATGGCCTGGTGACTGATGAAATCTCAGCACGGACACAGAAGGCTCGATAGGCTATTGTCAACTTGCGTCACTCATGGCGTAGGCGAGATATTCGTCTGCTAACTGAAGGACGAGTGCACAGCCCAGCAGAGTTGAGGATATTCGTAGGTTATTAGTATTCAATTATAGATGTCTTCGAATCATTGCCCGTGTATCCTGAAACAACGGAGTAGGCAATGCTGTCATTCGTCTAACAGGTAGGGATGGCAGGTCAATAGATAAAGTATTGAAACTTCATCATTTGAGGTGTTTGGAACAGGTGTTACGTATGTCTAACTACCGACTGCCTCAATGAGCGATGTTTTGTGTTGTAACAGTAGACTGGAAGAAAGCTAGTGGCGGCCAGACCAAGACATCGCACAAATCCGTGAAGTCACCTACAACTGTTAGGTGCAGACTATCTAGTTTGGGTCTGCCAGGCAATCCTAATCGCTGGTGATTCACTATTTTTATTGCTTAGGTGCATCCATTCTTTATCTTCTCTCCAATTCTCATCTTGAATTCCTCATGACCGTTTTTTCTCTTTTGATTCCTCTGGGATATATTTCTCGAATGATATTTTCGATGTCTAAGGTTTTTGATTACCACTAATACTTCCACTACCTCCTCAACTATGGTGTTTGAATTGAAAATTCGATCTGTGTGTGTTAATGTTTTATGGTAACTCAAACTGATGTATTTATGTATCAAGTTCTACGCTGTAGCTGACTGACTGACCGACTGGCTTGAACTGAAGCACGTTTGTGTCCAAACTTGAGGTTTATTACTGACTGGTTGACATATATCAATGTATTTTAGTAAAGACTCGTTAATTAATTCCTTTTTTTATATTCGATTGCTTATTTGCGAAGTAAGCTGAAATTTTTAGTGGGTCACAGTTAATTCAGTTAAATGTCTTCGTAAGGGCAATCAATAAAAAAATGATAAGTTTATTGATTAGTATGATGTCATTAAATTAAGTTAAATAACCTTTAATTTCTTAGTTATTTACTGTCATTGATAACTTGAAAGTTTGTCATTTGTGCACTTTATTCCAACTTTTTGCTTTAATTCGGGACTGGAAATAACTTCAGCTAATTAGAAAAAGTTATATTTTATATCATTAACTGATTTGTTACCACAATTATGTATATGGTTTCAGATTTACTATAATGTTAACATTGCTTTCAAAGTCAACTAAACATTAGACTCTGTTATACCACATTTGTTTTAGACTCCTGGTGAATCCACTCGACGAGATTTTCAACACACTCATACATGGAATGAAATAACAAATCACTTTAAATTATTCATACAATGTCGTAAAATAATTGCTGTAAGTGCGAATACTATTGTTCTATTGTTCTTTTTTAATATGTGAGCATTCATTTCTCTCACTAATATATAACTCTAACTATAAACTCTAACCCTAAATGCTTAGCAATAACCTAAATCCTTACTATGAACAATGTAGAGACTCATGAAAATCTTTTTGCGTCCTTAAGGTTTGAGAAAACGGATGTACTTTTTCGATATATTGATTAAATTACATGTCGTTTTTCTGACTTACTGATTGGAAAACTTCAATAGATAGATTGATTATAGTAAATCTGTATGCTGTTGTTTTGTGTCGATAAAATATTTAAAATAACTTCTCTGATTGGCTAACCACGGGCTAAAATCCATTGCGGGTACATTAAGCCCATTCATATGTTTACACTACTATTGCAGCTAATAATGCTACTACCTGCATAACTCATATCGAATTGGATATAGTTTGATTGAAACTTCCAGTCTAATGCTAATGTTAATCAGTATGATTAGAATACATTATCCTCAAGACGTGAATTGAATTTTACATCCGTTGCTTTTTTTTTGTAACTGTTAAGACACTTTTCTAAACATAACGTTGATAGTATTCGTTTGATGACACTTAACTTTAACTTTCAGAGCTAGCAGTATGAATTCACTGCTTTTTATTATTTTTTTTTTGTGTGCAGCAAAACTATTTAATCCGATTATTGAAGTTGAGAACTATTTTGGAGGTCTCCGATTTCTTCGCTAAACATGAGGTTTGTGTTCTCTGAATTTTTTGCTCACTTTGAATTCGTTTATTGTATTGAAAGTTTTGAAACTAAAATTTTTTGAACTAGATTTCAAAGTATTGATTTCTTCTAGATTAAAACAGAACATACACTCAAACACATCTGGTTCCAACAAAAGTCACTCATTCCAACTGGTTACAACACATGATTTCGATTATTCATTTTCAATCCCGTTTGTCAATATTTTCATTCTGGAGACCTTATCTTGTGTTAGTACTAATACAGCAACAGGCTTACTTTTTGTGGACGAATTCCACAGTTCTGAGTAAATAGTCAGACTAATGAGTCAGCTGTACCACATTTCCTGTCTAAAAAATAATTATCAATTATTTGTGCTTAATATTTGACTTTACGTTGATGAAATTCTCATTTATTCATCGAAATATTTCTTAGTATGATTGTCATTGATTTTATGTTGAATTCCTAAAATAATCAACCATTTAAATCTTATTTTACAAATCAAATTTAACAGGTGTTAGTTTTCACCTAATAACAGGTCAATATTAAGCTGAAGTATGTTGTGGGTTTTTATCAATTCAAAGATGTTTTTGGTTTTGCCTCTGTCGGTTTAAACGCAGTCGGTATTGTTAAGCTATTTAACCAAGTCAAGGTGTCTACTCAATAAGTGCTACATTATACTGTTCGACAGTACAAAATTGAAAAGTAACTAAAACCAACTCATGGTCTGGCCGCCCCTAGCTTTCTTCCAACCTACTCCTGTTTTGTGGTGTAGGAGTAGGTTGGAAGAAAGCTAGGGGCGGCCAGAGCAAAACATGGCACCAAACCATGAAGTCACTGACTAGTGGATTGAGTCATGTTGGTAGTTGTCGACTACCTGGTTGGGGTCCGCGAGACGAAAGTCATCAATGGTTTGATGCGTTGGACGATATGGCTCAGAATCGTTTGCAATGGCGCAGGTGAATCCATTCGTTGTGCTCTCTCAAATCCTAATCTTCTGGATTCGTCAGCACCTCTATCTTTCGCTTTCTAAATTTGCTTCACTGAATTATACTTCTTGAATAATATCATCAAACCCCTAGTCTTCTTCATTACCATTAATACCTCTACTATGTTTATCACTATGGGATTTGATTTGACATTTGCGTCTGTGTGTTCATATGGTATGGCAACCTGAACTTATATACATGCGTACGAAGTTCTACGTTGCAATTGACTGACTGACTGACTGACTAACTAAAAACATCTATATGGAGTTGGAAAGTTTCGCAGATTTTGTGGATACCTATTATTTGGTGTAGTTATCTTTATTGTACTTTTAATTTATATTGCACATCCTAATTACAAATTTATGTATAGTACAAAATTAATTACTGATTTTATTTGTAATTTAAAATAAATTATCATGACCTACGTGATTAAATTTTTGTTTATGATTATGGTTTTTTTTTCGTACAAATAAAGTTGAATTTTTGATGGAAGTTTTTTTTGGCCCAGTTTATTTAATCATACATAAATTCAAACTTTTAATCAATGCACAAATATCTAAACATATGTTATTTTCACTAAGGGCTTGTAATTTCCTTTATATTGACACGTGCTGAATATTAATATGGTGGGAAATTACAAGCTCCTTCTGAGAGAATACCTTTACACTCGTTGAGTACGTCATTGGTTGTCTCCATAGCACATTGAACATTTGACGCTGAATTGGTTCGATATCCATTGTGAAATCTGACTGTTGATAATTTTTCCGTATTCATGCTTGTTTTCGTCTTAAATTATCAATTTGGTTTTCAATTCTGAAGAGACTAATTTTTTTAATAACATGAAAGATAAATCGAACAATACTATTCATATATATGTATACGAACTATGGTGTTGACTAAAGAGCAGCTTGACGTAATATTGAATATGTGGATTTGATTATTATTATTGTTATTATTATTATTATTGTTTATATCGGTTCCATAATATCGATTTAATGTTAGTATAGTTCTACTTTATTCAGGTATTGAAAGTAACTTATCAAACCATAATACTATTCTAATTGGTATTCGGTTTGCGATTGCCATGTCTACAATCTGAATTGTGCATGCGTTACCATACCTCATACCTCGACTTAATTTTGATTATTGTTTGTTGGAATATATATATATATATATATCCTATGCTGATCGTCTGGATATTGCCATTCTTCATAAGCCCTCATTAAAATGATGGATTAATGGATAGCAGTAAAGTCCAGGACGCACGTTTTGTCCTATTCGGGTCTTGTCATATAGATGTGTCTGCATCAAAGTGTTTGTTCTCACATCAGGACACGAATCTACTAACTTTCACTTTAAATATCCGATTGATAACCCGTTGAGCTACTGATTCCAGATGGTTATCCACTTGTATAACAAAGGTGTTGGTTTCAAGTCCCCCATATGAACATTATTATTGAGATATAGGTGCATTAAGCCGACGAATGCTAAATAGGCTGAATCGGAAGTCCTGGATTGTACCTGTAGTTACATATTCATCTGTCCTATAAAGAACTATTTTGTCTGGGTATTCTTTTAATAGTAGATTTTGTTGTTAAATATTGGAATGTGTATTGATATCTATGTTTATTGGTTTCTTGGTAAAAGGTAATGATATTTTTATCCACCTCGCTTAACATTCCATAGTCTTGGCAACGGCACTGTTTACTAATTATTTTTTGTGTTTAGTCTGTAAATCAAAAATAAAATCTCCATCATCTATCCTCTTCTTTTTCCGCTTCAGTTTATCGGCTCTTCATTATTGTTTGTTCATGATGAATCAGGCTATGCTAATATCTGGTTAATTGATTTCGCTAAAATAGCTAGTCCATCTAACAATCAAATACGTGTGAATCATCGTTCTGCATGGCGATTTGGCAATTATGAAGATGGTTACTTAATTGGAATAGATAATTTAGTGAAATTATTTGAAGAAATTATTCATGAATGTCATTAGTTGAATATTTCGTGGATTGTTGTTCCCTTTCTATGTAATTTTCCATTTGCACATCTCTACGAGTGTTTATATCTCTGTACTCAGAAGAATGCCACGATCTATATCCGGTCTATTATAAGATATATACATTTCCCACTTTTTACAACGTCTTCGTAGAACTAAATGATTTTTCCATTGAACAGCCGTCGTTCTGTATATTGATTCAATAATGGCTAATTTTTTTTCATTTTGTGTTTGCGTAGTTCTTCCTGATCCTACACTTTTTGATCACAACAGAACATTACAAAATAATGATAGATCACTGGGAAAGACATTTATTTGTTCCTTTTTTTTTCTATGTTATCGTGGTTTTTTTAAATTGACTTCTGAAAGCTGAAACTCTGTACAACGGTTCCAATCTCTTTTTTTTTCTACTTGTGATTTAGAAGCATATTTTTGATAAATGAGATAGTTTTTTTTTATTATTAAATGTTCCATCATCAAATGAATTTCGCCACATTTATTTTTTTCTACAACTATTTTTCTCTTTGACAGAGTACTAATATTTTCAATATTGATTTGTAATTTAACAATAGTGTTCCAATTTCAAACACATTCCAACTATGCCAATTTGTATGATTATAAAATGTTGTGGAATGTTTTATAGTTTTCTGATTTATGCGTCTCAATTTACAGAGTGACCTGTATTCTGTGAAGGATATGTCCACTGATATTTAAACTTGTAACGCGTGATTGGGCTTATTTATCTCTCCAGTTCAATTCAGCTCTCCCAAAAGCCGTTACTTCCCTTTGGAAAGGTTTAGGAAATACTATTTGAATTGTGGTACAACAGGTGCCACTCACTGGGTTATGGTTCCAGATTAGTTGTTGGAGTGATTCGGAATTGGTATTGCCTTTCTGCAGATAGCATTATTTCAAATCTAAGGCTTGCATTGCACATGGAATGGTAATATATAAGGAGAGGAATTGACTGTTTATCAAACTGTTTGAAGTAGGCCTGGGATAGGAAGATGATTTACACGTATTTGTATATGGTCGGCGATTTTCTTATCTTGAAACAACTTACTACTGGCCTAAAAGTCACAAATTCGTTTTAAGTTATCACCATCAGCCAATTTCATCGCCCTAACATGATTACATAATCAACTAAACATTATTGGTCGAGTTGTATCCACTACCTGAAACATGTGTCACAGTGGAGGGAGATTGTTTGCATGCGTGTGTGTGTGATCGATCGATTGGATATACGATATAGACAAGAGTAACTACCAGCTATAATAATCCACTCATAGACGTAGTGTACTCAAATGAACATATTTCAAAAATAGTCAATTGAACATTGTTGAGTGATTTCTTTCTGACCAAATGACATACATTTTTGCAATAAAAGTAGACAATAAAATCAATTCGAACATGTACATGTTTGATGCTGGCCATTATTTTAGTAGATAAACAGTCAAAGTAAAATACTGAGTAATTGATTTACCTTGATTAATGGTTGGCATTATTGCTTATCTAACAATGTTGAACTCGATTGATAAACAATACAAATTTTCTTTTGTGGAGTTTACTTTAAGCAGGACAGCACACCTACTGAAGCACTTAAGTCAGATATAGAAATAACCGCAAAGATGCTTGATTTTCTCTTCCGAGAGATTTATCAGGAAGAATAAATTCCAACTATTCAGAAATAAGGATTCTTCATCAGGACACCAACGGAAGGAGATCTTTACAAGTGTGAGAACAACTATGCAGGCATTAAACTAATATCAGCATCAGAAAAATCTATCAACAGCCAAATCACACTGGATGGAGAGGCTGTAGGCGAGATAGGAACGTTTACGTACCTGGTCAGCACCATTAACAAAAAAGAACTTTTAGTTAACATCAAAGATAGAAATCTTCAGTAAAAACTACCACAACCATTATCAGGAGGATACAGGTATTTATATGTAGTTTTCAATGCAAGATACTCTGGATCCGTTGAGCAGACACCATCAGCAAGAGCTATGGGATAGAACAAACCAGATGCAGAGGAAGTTAGGAAGACGCTGAAGGTGGATAGGACACTAACAGCGAAAATCACCAAACTGTATTACAGGGCACTTTCTTACTGGGAATACTCAAGTCTAAAGGAAAGTGAAGGATCAAAGGGTACACTGCACTGGGAATCGGAGGTAATCATGAAAAAAAAATGAATATCAGGTACGAATATTTGGAAAAGGGAGTTCAAGACTTGTTTGGAGAATCGTGGTCGGAAGCCTATGCTCCACGAGGAGTCACAGGCCTAGAGATAAGATACATAACATGAAGAACACTAAATGAATTTCGGAAACTCAGTCTGTTGAACTGCAAACTGCCCAATTAGTGGAAGGAAAGTACGAGGTGTTATTACCAGGATTTTCTTAGCTTGTAATAATAGTGTTATTATTAATATAACCTACAATATAACAAAATAATCTTTGGAGAATGAAAAGTTTTTCTGTTATTCTTGAAGTTGGTAAAAAAGTTAAATATATGCTAAACCAGATTATTCTTTCTGAATCTCTTATTCACTGTCGGTATTCCTCATAAGTTATGTGATATAAAATTGTTAGAGTTATAGTCATACATCGTTAGAGAAGCGTAAACAAAGACAAAATATTTGTCCAATAATATTCTCTAGATTAAATAAATCTTCATTAATTACATTAGTATATAACGTTTGTTTATATTGTTTATTGGAATCATCTGACAATTAGATTTCATTAATAATTCCCACTCAAAGTATTCCTAAGGTAAACATTTTCATTACAAATCGTACTGTCTGAATATCTAACTCTGACAAGTAGCTCTGTTATCGACCATATTTAATCTAAGATAAAATTTATTTTGTTTAACTTTATGCTCTAGTTGAATCAAAATGCGAACAGGCTTGTAAAAGTGTTTGAAAAAAAATAAATGGTTTGTCCCTAATAAGTACTTTTCATGTAACATATTTTTTTATTCACGCATATAATTCATGTTGTTGTATGCATTGCGTTGTTATGTAAACGATACATGAATAACCTCAAATTCCATTATGTTTTACACCATTTGACAATAAACTATTATTTTTGTTTTTAGTTGAGTATATTAGGTCAGTCACGTGTCAGAATCCTTGCAAAATTTCAGAGAACACGTGCTCTTCAATTGTATGCTTGGTATGATGCTATTTAAGATAATTGTTTATACATTTTTGTAATTCTTCGGTAATTTATTACTAACCAGAGAGTAAAGTTCAGAAAGTGACAATTTACCAGAACTACTCATTTCATGAAGTAAGTTGTGAAAAGTGAGTACTGTGTTTCGGGAAATTCATCAGTAAATGTAAACGTTAGATTGGATTTTATGATCGAAATACAATGAACCAACCTAGTTTTACATTTAATTGTATTGTTGTAAAGGAATACTATTTCTATTTATTGAACCGATTTATTCAAATAGTTTATTGAACTTTTAAAATAATCAATTTTATGTATAGACATTTAATGTTACTTATGTAGAAAAATTCTGTTATGATTTATCCAATTACTTTATTTTCGATTATAAGAAATTGTTGAATAATGAAAGAACAATCTAACGAGAATTATGCAATCGTGCTTATAATATAGTTTTAATAAATGTAAATGTAGTCAAATAAAATTCCCATTTTGATTGTTATTTTACAGAAGAAATCATATAAAAATTAATTTCAAAATAATAGACAACAAGAACTTGAGTTGATTAAATGGTTGGAGTTATTCTTCATTGCATCCAACTGATATTTGTAATCCCCGGCATGAAATATATTTGAAATGTCAGTCGGAAATAATATATATTATGAACTGATGAACAGTCGAAAACTAAAGAACATTAGATGGTTGTATTTGCCGTAGTTTGAAACTGAGCAGTACTGTTAACCTGTGACGACACTAAGGATTCAAGTTATAACCTTCAAGTCTCATTACTCTATCATTTTATCTTTAGATCACTATGTCAGAATATAATGGTTCACTTTGCCGACTGTCAGCAATTAAGACTGACGCAGACTGACAATCATCAGTACCCATGATGTACAACGTTGCCATTTCTAATACAGCTAAATTCAACCGATCAGCTAATATCAGTTGGTTTTAAAAATCCGAAAAGAATTATTCATACGAGATTATCGACAAAGGCACTAAGTTACCTATGTAAACTTAAGTAATCTCTAAAAGTTTGTACCGATTACGTTCTTGTATTTGATTATTTTCGTTGCTTTGACGATATGCTATTTTTGTCTGAATATTTTGTATATATGTATACTATTTTATTCCATGAATGAGCTTATTCTTCTAGTTATTGACTTTTTTGATATCAGTTCATTCGGAGCTTGATTCAATAATTATACGTCGTGCACAACCTACACTTGGACACAATTAACTATCGCATATTACCAATCAATCGGTGAACTTCATCTTTTAATCAGATAATCCGTAAATAAGTTTATAATTAAAAATCGTGATATCTGAATAGTAGTATTAACAAAGGTGCCGGGGCTTAGATTCATGAAGGAATAGCATTATAGTATGTTATGGGGTAGAACTAACGGAAAAAACTAATTGGTTAATTAATTCATACTACATAATATATAGCGAAAAGAGGAATAATTGTTATATCAGTTTTATTTTCTGCTATATTTTATCCATAACATGAAAATATAGCTAGACATATAGAAGTAATGATAAACATTCATTGTTTATCATTACAAAAATCAAATATAATGCTCTTATTTCGGTTACTAGAAACACTGATTTATATTCTGGAAATTATAGGTGTATATATGTGTTAATTCAATTTGAATTTCATTGCCTCCTTTAAACAGTTGTATTTCTGTATGTTCAAATTATTCAAATAATGTTGTATTGGTTTATGCATTTGTTCAATAAACATCTGTGACATATATATATATATATATATATATATATATATATATATATATATATATATATATATATATATATATATATATAATATGTTATTAACACATTAAACATGAAAATTAAATATTCGAAGGTCATTTGAAAAAAGTTTCTCACATTCATGTGTTTTTAACACATACGTGATTATTACTGATAGATTTATTTTCAAGCTTTTAAGTAATTATCATAGAATTCGATAATTTACAAATTAACGTATCTAAACCTTTCTATATATAATTCGTGAGTTATTAGAAAATACCTTTCTGCAGGGTAACAATACAATTTTCTAATAGTTTGTTTTCTAGTTACATTTTCTCGACACATCATTCACTACTTACTACTGGGAATGTTCTTTATTATAAAATAATGAGAATAGTAAACAGTCATTCTTGTTCATTGGAGAATATCTACCTCGAGGTCTACACAGATTAACACATGGAAATACATGTTTGTAATGTTGAGTGTTTTAAATGAGCTGACTGAAATTCAAACAATCAGCTATGTTTTCTGAGAGAAATGATGTCAATGAAGGCACATGTGAAATGTTGTATAGACTACATTGCTTTTGAAACTGAGTTGATAGATTCATTTGTACTTGTTGTTTGAATGTTGTCAGTGATGTTTGTGACTGTAATTGATCAGAGAGACTGATCAAACATTATGATCGATGGCAGCCGTATGCATCAACAAGA